ATACAGCATGCCATGATCTACCTTTTGCGATAAATGAGAAAAGAACGAATCCAGTAGGACTGCCACCTGTTGCCGCCCAAAGAAACCATGACATGGCTGGCCCAGTGTCATGATGGTGGAAGAGATCTGCGATGGTGCCTCCAAAATTCGAGATCGTCGTAGATGAAAAGTAGCCTGAGAACAGGCGCAGGACTAGGAATGGACCTAATGTTTCTACGTATGTCGTTCCCAAAAGTAGTAAGAGAAAGATGCCGTAAGACACGATATAAACAGGTCTCCTTCCAAAGTACTCCGAAAGAGGAGCCAAGGTCATAGGCCCAAAAGCCAACCCAAGGACATACATGCTTAGTCCCAGAACCGCGACGCTCGGTGAGACGCCCATGTCTTTCGCAAAATCGCTCGCAGCAGGACTAAAGCCACTTGCTCCCCAGGAGACACTGAGGTCTATCGGAACAATAGCAGCGACCATCAGCCATTTTCGCGCTTTCGACCAGTTCCGCGGGTCGTCTGGGTCGTTGGGCTCGAATGTTATAACTTTGGTTGGAGGGCTCCGCAGTAGAGGCTCCCTCTCCCCCTGGAAGGAACTCATCATTGAACAAAGGTTGGTGTATCCGTACGTCCTCCCGCTGCGAAGCTTGGCTGGGTATTGTATGTTTTGACGCGTGTTGTTGTTGAATCATGTCACAGCTTGCGGGAACGATTAGTCCGATGATGACGTAATTGAAGATAGTCAGAAGGCTCGGGCCGCTGCTCGACACCTGTCACATGCTCACCATGATCTTCATTTATCGATTTACTCTACTGAGACATGGCCCCGGGATACTAACAACAGTCTGATTGAAAAGTAAATGACCATACTTTTTTTGTTCGAAATCGCGACGCCAGGCTTCCTTTTCCTACCGACCTCAGGAGCAGACGGAAAACACCATATCTAGTAACTTCTACACTGACCATCGTTTGCTTATCACCGAATGCTGTGTAACCACTCCTGACGCACTGCATGTGCTGTACCTGGGTAGCCTGCATCGTAGTACAACATCTGCAGTCATCAAGCCGACCCCGCCAAATTTACCCAGTGTCGCACACAACACCACGTAGGCTATCACAGCTGAGCATGCTGGCTTCTCCCAAGATCAGATGCTATCTACACACCTGAGCATGATGTTCATACTGGCAGTCGTCTCCACTGAAACTAAAGCTTGCGATTACGACGACCACGTTTCGTTCTTGTGATATCCCATGCCTCGTGTAATCTTGAAAGGCCATGTCTTTCCCTCATTCTCTGCTTGGGGATATTCGTCCTGATACCAACTAGCATATACCTCAAATTCTCGCAATTCTTGTACACCTGCAACACTCAATGGTGTTAACAAAACATGCTCATATGCAGCATCAACACACGGTGCCCAGATCACCATGTCTATTCTCAAATACTCCAGTCCTTCCATTTTCGAGATCTCGGACCACATCTGTGACCAGGACGAGGCGTTGTAAGGTGGATCGCCATCAAGGAAGTGACTCATCTTCCATGTCTCTTCGTATGCCCATCTCAGTCTTACGGAACGGATTGTCTGGAATAGACGGGGCGAAAGCAGGCGATGCAGGCAGAAATATGCTGTAAGGTTGGAATTCGAAATGTATTGCATCTGTAAATGTATTCTATCGCCTCGATATATCTACAACAATTTCAATTAGATGCTGCAACGAAAGTGAGTGTCATTGAACATCACTACTTACGCCATCTTACACGACTTTGGAAATCTCAAAAGCTCTTGTGCCTGACCACATCTCGTCTGGAACGGGACACGCCTGTCCCCGTCTTCACGAAGCTCAAGCTGAAGTTCTGCTCTGTCCATGACATAGGCATATACAAGCCTTCGCAGCTCCAGGGGCAGCCTTCCGAAGAAGAGCGATTGCTGCTGGGGCAATATGTTGGCAGTTGAGCCGATGTCGAAGGCATCATCCGTCTCTGCTCTTGGGTCGGGGAGACGTACATGCCACGAAGCACTAGTCTCTGCTCGCAGTCTTCTGAGGTGTTCTTCATCTGCCCGCCTTTTCTTTGCTATCATTCGTTCATAAGGCGCGACGATCACCGTCTCGATGATGTTATCCTTGAGGGCGCGCACGAGCGCCGAGGTAGATCGCATATCGGTATAGATGGAGGTTTCACTACACAGCACCTACGCAATTTGGATACATCTTGTGCTGGGTGATCTCTCATGTAAAGGCTGATGCCTGCGCTAGCCCTGGAGGTGTGGCGTAGCATGCTGGGAATATTCAAGACGGCTATAACACGGAACATATTCGACTTCCTGTGTCCATCGTAGTAGACTACTCGACGGTAGCCTATGATTACTTGCTTGGAATTGCAGAGAATCAATCGTGTACATGATAACAAGGCCGTTCCGGAAAGTAGCACATTCCTTGGTTCCGTCATGACTCGCCTAAATGAGAGGCTATTCATGGGTACCGCCCGCAAACAACGCGCGCCAGCAATCCTCCACACCCTCATGTGAAGCCACAACCACTCATAATCGGGTATTTAATATAGTCTGCTCGTGTAAACACATCTTTGGGAAGGTACGAAAGAACATGTGGGCCGGTTCGACTTTCAACAGACCCTGTCCTCGGGCGCTTTCCTACCGAAGGGCCGATTAGCGTCACTACCCCATAGCATTCTGTCCTCCTTTACCCCGGATTATGGCTGGGATCAACGAACTTGGCTTCAATTAATTTTCCCGTGTACCTGGATACGAGGTGTATAAAAATGGGGAGGCAAGTGCTCCCCAGGGCAAGCAGTGCTCGTTGGCACCTTCCATCTACAACATGCGCTCCACCGTAGCAACCGCGGCGGCGCTTTTGCTGCCTTCGACATCATGGGCTTTCCTGAACGCGAGTCAAAACAATCGAAGTCTGACTATCGCCAATGACCGGCTCGTCGCGTCGGTGAGCAAGACAAGAGGATATATTAATGTCCTCACTCTTGACGGCCAGAACCTCCTTGGGACGGAAGACGGCAACACCGGAGTTGGTCCATATCTCGACTGCTACTGCACTCCAAGTGGCTTTTGGACACCCGGTCGGGGCAGCAATGTTCAGTACCAGCTGTTCAGTGGCAATGATTCTACTGGTACCCCATATGGTGGTATTAGCATGGGCGAGACCTACGCTCCAACTGGGCAGAGGTTGGAGCAATACTGGTTTTTAAGAGAAGGGGAGACGGGCCTACACACCTTTAGTCGTGTGATTTACAACAACAAGACCACTCCGTTCTTGCGCAATCTGCAGGAGTTCCGCACATTATTCAGACCCAACCATGAACCGGCACTTTTCACACACTTCGTCACCAACGAGAAGTTTGCTGCACCTCGCCCGGATACCGAGGGTCAGGTTACTGTCCAGGACGCTACGTGGTATCTGCCCAATAAAGAGAGTCCTTATGTCGAGGGAGTAGGAGACTACTTCACCAAGTACACTTTCCAAGATACGTGGCGCGATCACAAAGCCCACGGTATGTATGCCGACGGTACCGGTAGTGCCAATGGCTCAACTTACGGCGCATGGCTCGTACACAACACCGTCGAGACCTACTTCAACGGCCCTGTTCATTCCGATCTCGTTGTCGACGGCATTGTATATAACTACATGGTCTCCAACCACCACGGCATTCAAACACCCAACATCACCGATGGCTTCGATCGTACCTTTGGACCCCAGTACTTCCACTTCAACTCTGGCGGTTCGCTCGAAGAGCTTCGAGAAGACGCAGAGCAGTACGGTCTCCGTCCAGAGTGGAATGCCGAATTTTACGATTCCATCGCAAAATACGTACCAAACCTCGTCCCAACATCTGGCCGTGGTACCTTCAATGCAAAGATCAACCTGCCTGCCGGAGCCAAGAACCCCATCGCCATCCTCACAGAAAGCGGCCACAACTTCCAAGACAACGTCTTTGACACCAAAGCATACCAGTACTGGGAGGACATCTCCGCAGACGGCGAAGTAATCATTCCTCGTGTAAAAGCAGGAGACTACCGTCTCACCGTCTACGCCGACGGCATCTTTGGCGACTACTACCAGGACGACATCTCCGTGTCCGCTGGAGAGGAAACCTCCGTATCAGCGACATGGATCCCCGAATCCGCAGGCAAAGAACTCTTCCGTATCGGCACCCCTGATAAATCTTCTGGTGAATACCGCCACGGCTACGCTCAATCCTCCACGAAACCTCTCCTCACAGAAGAATACCGTCTCTACTGGGGCGCATACGATTTCGTCGACGAGTTCCCCGAGGGTGTGACGTACAAGGTTGGTCAGGACGATGAGTCTCAGGCACTCAACTACGTCCACTGGGCTGTCTATGGCGGAAAGGCGAACTACAAGCGCCCAGTACCTGTGCCCGATCATCCGTATAACTGGACTATCTTGTTCGATACACAGGCGAAAGAACTGAGTAACAGGACTACTGCTACGTTCACTGTGCAGCTTGCTGGTGCGAAGACGGCAGCAGGAAATACGGATGTGTTCAACGCAAGTGAGCCGTACTCGAATCTACCTTTTACCGTCAATGTGAACGGCAAGGACCTTGAGCCGTGGATCATTCCGTAAGTTCCCCCGTACATTATATCTCGAAATTGTTACTAATTGAGATTTCAGATACAACCAATCCTCATCTTGCGCTGTCCGCTCAGCAGTCATCTGCTACAATCTCGCACACAAGTTTCTTTTCCCGACTTCTATGCTGAAGGACGGTGAGAACAGTTTGATACTGAGCCTACCGTACAACGGGACGAACTACGAGAGTGCGTTGTTGCCCGAGTCGGTGTATGTACAACATGATGCGATGAGATTGGAAGTGAAGTAGTTAGATCAGTAGACAGGAATAATTGTATCATGATTATGACGTGTTCTAGAAGCTCAGCAATAACACAACTCCATAATATGCACCGCTAAATGTACACCTTCTGTTTCTCTTCATCGACGTTGTCCTCAGACTGCCATTAAGCAACCTCCTCAACCATCCTTCCACTGAATGGCTTCTGGGTCCCCTTCTGCATGTCCCCGGCGAATATGGTGCCAACGGGAGCCTGAAGCCACTCGTCAGGAACGGCGAGCTGAGTTCCCTTGGCATTCTGGATGTAGCGTGTGAAGAGCGGGTTTGCGCGCTCAGGCTCGTGTTCGATCTCTTCTCCATCTTCGTCCACATTCATCATAGATTTGCGGCCACGTTTTGGAGGCTGTTTCTTGAGGAGACGGTTGATAGTGTCGAGCTGGAGATGGAGGTTAGTAGCTGTTTCTTCAGATGATGTGGAATGGTGGACGAACCTTTTCTTCTTCATTCCTCTTCTCGCTGAGATTCTTCCTCCGCCTTGCCATCTCAGCCCTTCGCATGGCGTGTTCTTCAGCTGTGAGGTGCTTCTTCTTCTGTGCCTCGTTGGAGAGTGCCAGGAGTGCGCCGTCGCCTTCTTCATTGATGAGAGCGCGTTGTCGCTTCGTCATCTTGGTGACATCAGGGGTCTGGTCGCGGCTGGCATCTTCGTCGCTGTCCATGTCCTCATCCATATCTCCACTAGGTGTGACACCCATGTCGTCGTCTTCCTCGCCCTCAGCATCCTCGTCTTCGCCTTCTGCGTCTTCCTCGTCGAGGTCGGAGTCGGGATCGCTGAGGTCGTCGTCATCGTCGTCGTCCATGGCCATTTCCTTGGCCTCAACTTTGTCTTGTGCTTTTGTGAGTTTTATCGCTGGCGCTGGTTGGACGGGGATTCCTCTGTTCGCGTTTACGGTGATTCGGGGCGCTGGTGTGTCCTCCATATCGTCGTCTTCGTCCCCTTCGGCGTCCATGTCCTCATCCTCGTCGCCTTCAGCGTCTACCTCGTTCTCGTCTGAGTCGTCGTCCACGTCCATGGCATCGACCTCTTCGGCGTCGTCGTCGTCATCTTCGTCCTCATCGTCGCTGTCGATTTCCTGCACTACACGACTACTCCGTGAAGCGCGTTTGCCCGCGACTATGTTATTCCTGCTGACGCCTGCCTTTGGCACAGCCCCGCCGGTGGCCTGTCTGATCTTGTTGGGCGATGACTTGACGGTGAGGTGTATCGACTGGCGCGTCTCTTCGGGCGAGGAGCGCTGTATGACGGCAGCAGCAGGCGACTGGTTCGCAGTGCCGCGACGTGGGCGGGTCGAGGAGGCGGTAGGGGTGGCACTGGAGGGTGTTAGAGGAGCTGGAGGTGCGCGCGACCGTAGGCGAGGCATGATTGTAGCGGCGTATGGGGAGAGCAGAGCAGGACCGGCAAAAGCGGGAGAAGGCAGATAGGAAGGATTGCGACGGCGTCAGATAGCCCGTTCGTATCTCCGTACCGCTGACGTCGCGCAGGGATGTGCAAGCGGGTGGCACAGAGGTGGTGGTGCAGAGAGGGCCTTCTTGGGTCGCAGTTGCTCTTTGGGGATGATGTACTCGACGCGCTGCCCTTGGCGATGGGTGCAAGTCATTCGCTCGCCTTGTCAGCCACATACCTGGTGCTGTTTCCTCTCGCATCCCATCCGTCGCCCTCGGATTCGTCATATTCGGTGCTTATGCGTCGCATCCGTTTGGCCGCGCGATCTGCCATGTTTATGATTGGCACAGGGATATTCTGAAGTGTTGGTGTTATTCCAATTGGTAGGTGCGACGATTTTACGCGTGTTGGTCTTCGGCCATGTTCTAACCTTCAGATGGAGATTCGCCGGGATCTTCCCCAGGTGTCGGAAACAAGCTAGCGTGGGCCCGTCCCAAAACATGTGAGACGCCAACAGTGCTCTCTCGCCTCATCACATTATCACGTTCATAGCAGTGCATGAGAGAGACACGTGTTTCAGGCGAATTTATATAATCATTATCGTTATACTCAATTAGATGGAAGGACTACCTCGAGACGCTATCCAGACCGACAGTTCCCGGTTTAACCCCATACAGCCTTGATGGTCTCCTCAAAACCCTCCTTGGGCACACCCAGCTTATCGTTCCACAGACCCGCCGATGATAGGTCACCTAGTTGATGCTCCTTGGCAAATGTGGCACCCTGGATCAAGTACGGGATGCCGCTATGGTCTCCCGACTGAAGCTTAGCACGCCCTTGCTCGATGTGCTCCTTCGCGCTGGCCTTTTTGACAGTCCACTTCGCACCAGTGACCTTCTCTGCCGCAGCCAACACCTCGTTCTGCGTTGTCTGGAATCCACTGACGTATACGTATTGGTTCTTGGTCAGATCTGCGTGCTTGAGTGCCTTGACGGTTGTAATGCCAATCTGGTGGAGGTTGGTCGCCGAAAAGACGGCCTCACCATCGTCAAAGATGGTCGCAGTCTTAGAGGAGCCGTCAAAGCCCAGGAAAGCGACCTTGAGGCCCCAGTCGAAGAAAGGACCGGTGATGATGCTGGTCCAGCTAATCTCCTTCTCCTTGCTCTTAAGGTAGTTGACTGTGCCAAACTTGGCCTCAAAGACAGGCACAATGTCGCGAGTGCGCTTGTCGGGCGTGTTGCTGCCGTACTCTGAAGGAAGGAAGCGCTTCACTCCCGCTGCAATGGCGGCATCGATCAACTTGTTCTGATCTCCCAGTGCCATACCACCAACAAGTGAGACAACGGCATCTTGGCCCTGGAATGCCTCCTTTAGGCTGTCGTGGGAATCGTAGTCTGCGCGGATGACCTTGACACCTGAGGGGAAGGTAGACTTTGACCCTTGGCGGGAAAGGACGGTTGTGTTGAAAGAGGACTCCTTGAGGAAAGCGTTCAAGATGGAGGGACCGAGGTTACCACCCGCCTAATGTTGTTAGTCCATGCGTACACGAGCAGTTTGGGAGAGATGCATACTCCAATGATGATGACATTCTTGATGGCTGCCATGTTGACGTGTTGGTGTTAATGTGTGAATAGATTCGGTGTGTTATCTGACTATAGAGTGTAGAGTAAGTTGAAGAACTGGATATCGCTGAGTTTGTGATTCATTAAGGTGATGAAGACGACGTCTTATATATGTCGCGACGAAGACGTGATTATGCAGACCTATGATGCAGGTACAAGGCCCCACATCCTCAGTTCCTCACTTTCCGCGTTGCTTTCAAACCCGCGCTTTACAACCGCTATGCTTTGCTAATGCACGCGTAGACTAATGGCGTACCTGAAGCTTGTCTGCGACAAGGCATCCCTGCATGTGATACTACCGTTGGTCGGTAGTTGGGTAGACAGTCGGAGCGACTCGAGTCTTCCGCTATGTCGCTCCTCGACGAGCAAGAATTGTTGCTTTGGAGTCTGACTACTACCAGCTTTCTTTTGCGCTGGTCATTGAGAGTCAGTTTAGTTTGGTACACGGTATGGTTGGAGCAGCTTTGGAGCACGTCACTCTCCAGAAGCTTCTCTGCAGGCGCAGCACAGCTCGAGACCCTGTCGCTTGACATCGGTACCGTAGTTACACCGGAGCTATCATGCCACTGAACCAGGTTGGATGCAAGGAAAAGGACGATGTTGTTGGGTGTGCTTAGCATATCGCGCGGAAACTCACCGTCGTGCCAAGACGCTAACCAACCTTGGACATTGAGTAATCGAAGTTGTCCCTCTTGCTACTTTGCGCCGTCTCCATCAAATCACAAACGCGAAAACCGATCGTGCATTAAACTACTTTGATTACAAAGCCAGGCTTTTTGCACTGCCTGATTACTGTGTACATACCTTCACAGCTTATGACGGCCGCAAAGTCAGTCTTCATCATTCAGGCTCATTTGGTTCTCGCTCAGGACCCATTCCATATGTACCAAGTCGAGCTCTTCAAGATCGATCACCATTTCACCAAACCACCCTGTCTCACTGTGACGAACTTTTCCCTGATATGCTGGGTCACCGAAGCATCCTCACCCCACTCACGCAAGCTCGCGCTCCAGGCTTGCTCCAGCCATTTCATCGTTTTCTCTCCCTGGCACAGATTTTGGTAACATTTCGCAATATCCTGCATCACATAGATCGCACATTTATCCCTATACCCTGGCTCAACCTTACCGACATCTTCTATCTCTTGTCCAACCACGGAGAAACATATGGTTAAGGCTTCTGCCCATTGACCCAACTCCATAAGAAGATTCTCGAATTCTCTCGCTGCTCTCCTTGCATTTTCGGAGTGCATGCCAAATTGAGTGCGCGCGAACTTGAAGAGCTGACGCCCGGCATTATATGCGGCTTGGTGATCTCCTTTACGGCGAAGTAGCCTAACATTGGCTGCCTGTGCCCGGAAGCATACAGGATGCGTCGGTTTTAGTGCGGTGTCCAGTTCTTGCAACATACATAGCCATGCGGTATCAGAAACTTCGCTTCGCTCGAGATGCTCGAAAAGATGTGAAGCTACGATAATCAACGTATGGTTTTTTGGAAACATGGTTGCAAAGAAATCGACTAGAAACCCGAGTATGTCACCACGGAGGCGGGGCTCAATGCTAGTGTTGGCCAAAGAGAGTGTAGTGAGCATCTCGAAGATTGATCGTAGCGGATTCGTGAAGAATTGGTAAGGATCCTTGATGGCAGTGTTACAGGCACTTTGAAGAAGCTCAAAAGACTGTGCTAATGAACCAATTTTGCGCATATAGATACTGCGCCCTATCTCATGCCAGAACGGGAAGTGCTCATCAATACCGGAATATGCTTCCGCTTCGCCAGAGTCCGAGGTTGCCAGAGTCACCTGTCGAATAGCGTGTGTAATCCTGTCTACACTATGTAATTCAGGGTCGACCTGTCGGATAAAAGAGGGGGCAACGAGCAAGCTAACATCAGCGGTTGGACTTTTCGTTGTAAGGGCACTGCTATCCGAGAACACACAACGGTTATACGTTAATGCGCTGGACACACAGTCGAAGTTCCATCCGGACGGTTCCACAAATGGTAGCGAATTGACAATGGTCGCGTTATCATTCTGGGTAGTCATTCCAACAAGACTTGTCTCCGGAACATTTTCGAGAAAACATGAGGGTTCAAGCGGGCAGCCAGACCTGGTCGGAAGATCAACTCTGTCATCGCTGTCTGCACGTTGAGCATCTCGGTTATGTTCTTCAGTCGAGAAAGTACGCAAATCGAGGTCAGTTGTTCGGTTTATATCATCGGTTATAGTTCGTTTTCCTCGTCCTTTCCGAATGGCCCATTTGTTGTCAAGCCTGTACTTATACATCCGGACACTATAAACTCACGCTTAGCTGGGACCTCCAAAACACCTGCTAAGAATACCTGGGTAGCTATGAGAGACTTTCTCGGTTCAAAGTCACCTACCTTGCTTTGAAATGATGATCAGTCTGCATAATAGCCCTGACCTCATGGACTGTGTACCGACGATATAGCAACATGATGCGCTCTCGTTGACATTGCCATTCAGCCTCGGTAGGGCCTGCCGCCTTGGAGCGTTGATTATCCATTTCAATATTGAGTATCATTAGCTTGGACAAGAAGACGGCATGCTAAGCTTGGAAACGAGAAAAACCTAGATGTGCAACCGTTAGACTACACATTGATCAGCACACTTCAAGGTTTGTATATGTCAAGATGTTGTAAGTAAAAGACACCTGCTGTGACCGTGTCATACTGTGAGAGGAGATCACACGACAGCTTCTTCGTGTTTGAGGTAATTTACTGCTGGTTCAACTGCCAATCGGTAAGGTTGCATACGTACACATGCAATTGGTGCACGACTAGCACAGCCTCGAACCGAGAACAAAGGTTCGTATATGCACAACACTGGCAAAGAACAATGCATATTTGCCTCACTATCCGCAGATCTTGTATGGTCTGGGAAGAGATGGCCGTCATGTGGACGATACATACAACAATAAAACGGGGCAAAGGTTGGGCTCCAAGTGCATAGACAATGCATAATGTGGCGCAAGCCTACAGCGAAGGAACAAAATCAGTCCGCATTTGTACACCGGTGAACTTTTATGTGCCAAGAAAGACAGTGCATGTAGGAGTACGAACCACAGCTCAGTAGGTGACTGCACAGTTGTACTGCGATGGCCAGCTGGACGTGCATTCAGGTGTCGACCAACAGGCTGTTTCGTAGTATCTCAAAACTGGCTACGTAGCCGTCACCAAGAATCAAATGGTATTGGAGCAGAGCAAAACTGCTGTGTAACTTGAGACCTGGCGGTAAAGATAGGCAGCAACGGTGGGTGGTAATGGTAGGTGCTAGCTCAATTTATCAGGTGTTCTAGTATATCTTTACAACATATATATCTTGCATAGCCTCGAGATTTCTGAGCAGAACAATCATCTCTCTCGAACTCTCAGTTCAACTCTTCACAACTTCCTTCGTGTTCTGCCAACAACAAAAAACGCCTTCTCTTGCAAAGTCTCTGCTTTCGATCATGGATCACCTACCCACGCCTATCGATGGACAACATCCACGTGTTCAAATGTACGCCGAAGCCAACACTACATTTCTTCCAGAACAGTTCTTTACGTTGCCGAGTGAATGGGGCTACGAAAACACGCTCGAACTTGTGGAGCTTGGGCTCGGCAGCAAGATAAAGGACCGGAAAGTCAACGAGTTTCTTCAATCTTGGCTCTTTTTTGCTCTGCTTGCTCAGATTCTGAATCGCCCTATTGAAAACGAGAAGTTCCGGTATGGCACGTCGGGGGTCCACACCGAACCTCTTTCAAAAATGATCAAAGACGCGGTTCAGGAAGAGCGAGCAGAAACCGAACTCAAGGCAACATCACGCGACGTTCGTTTTCAATGGTCAGAGGGCGCAGATGACAAGAGTCTTCATGGGGTAAGCCGCGTGCAGAAGAACAGATGGTTCAGAGCAAACATGGCACTCGAACAAGCAAGCCGATTCATCTCCAAGCACTGTTCCTACAAGCGCCTCGCCGAAGACGGGCAGCCGACAGTCGATCTACCATCTCCACTTATGGATGAAGAGATTGCGGAGCCTCGCGCTAACGAGCTGTTGGTCTTATCCATTGCAATACTTGGCGAGACATTACAACAAGCACGCCCTAGAGCGGTCTCTCTCAGCCAAGGCCCATTGCAATTCTTTCGAGACCATGACGACAAGGAGACGACGTGGGGTTACAGCCCATTTTGTCGGAAGACTATGAGACAGAGTGGATATTGCCCGTTGGAGATACGTCGAATGGAGTCTTCTATTCCATCCTTGAGCATTCTCTACTACGCCTGCTTTATCAAGAAGCATGGCAGAACAACACATTCGACGAAGTGCACAGTATCTGCATGTAAGAGCGAAGGCCACAGACTCGATCCGCTGCATATGAAGGCTTCCTGTCAACAAGAGAACTCTAGGCCTTTCTGTAAGCTAACGTACATTGAAAACCGCGAGACAAGGCTGAAGGAAATGATCGACAAAGGAGAAATACCTCTGGTCAGGTTCACGGCGGGAAATCTGGAGCTTCAAGGGTACTCTTTGAAGAAAGAATTACCTCGGTTTGGAGTAATGTCACATTCATGGGAGGAGGCCATCGTGCACAGCAAACGTGACGATTCAGGCGGAGACGATCGCAACATGCTCGAGTGTCAGGTTGAGACGCTGCAGAAAACCTTCAACAAAATCCACTCGGGGAGTGCCGTCATTACTTCCCAAGACAATATTCCTTTTTATGTGGATGTGTTGTGCATGCCAAAACAACCAACGGCCCGCGCAAAGACGATCAACCAGTTGAAACACATCTACCACAGGGCCTTTGCGGTCCTGGTATGGGATAGGAACTTGCTCGAAAGACAATTTTCTGGAGACATATTCGAAACCAGCATGCGGATTCGCGCTGGCGATTGGATCACTCGACTTTGGACATTTCAGGAGATTATCCTAGCACAGAATGGTGCTATTCACATTGCCTTTGACAAGGAAAACACTATCAGTGTCAGCGATATGCAAAAGAAGCGGGTAAAAGTTCGCGAGAATCTCATGGACAGCCACCACTACGTCCGAAGAGCAGGGCATCCTTTCAGTAAAGCAATAAGAGATCTTCGGAAGAAGCCCGATCACCGCGTAGAGCGAGCATGGGAAGCTGTACAATATCGACAGATCAGAAATGCCGACGATGAGACCATTGTTCTTGCCAGCGTTCTTGGGATGGATGTCCTCACCATCCAACAGATCGATGAAACTTCCACGGATCGAGACAAGATCGCCGACGAGCGAATGGCAGAGTTTCTCCATATGCTGGATGAAACACCAGGGCTTGGCATACCATCAGGTCTCATCTTCCTTCCTGGATCCAAACTATCCATTAAGGGCTTCGAGTGGGCACCATCCACATGGCTCACGAAACACTTGCATCCTCATAGGCTACTCAGCCCTATTGGACAAGCAGCCACGCTTATGAGAGACGGTGCTCTCGTGCGATTTCCAGGCATTCTACTGCATTGTCCTAACAAAGGAGTTGAACAATCAACATTCTGGTTTCCAGTGCATGAAAGCATGCACAAATGGTTCAAAGTGAAGGTCGATGTTAAGCCAGAAAGGTGGGCGCAATTCTGGCAGCGTGCCAGCTGCCCAGATGATCCAGAGCCCGCAATAATCCTGTGCAATGGAGATGCGCGAAACAAATGGGGAGTTGGTGTGTTGGTAAAATCCAAAGGATTTCTGAAGAAGGGCGAGATAAGGCTTGTTGAGCTCTTGTCTAGGGTCTGGATCCGTCTCGAGACAAACCCCAAAGTCATCAGCGATTGGATCTCAAATATGCAAAAACATAGCGATCATGTCATGTTCGGAGAGAGGTTGGGCGTTCAGCAGGAATGGTGCGTAGGGGGGAGGCCCGCGGTGACGCCGTGTGACAGCAGTACGGCACAGTAGATGATGTACATACCAGCAACGATAGTGGTCTCTCTATGATAGTCGTAGGAGCGATTTTCACATACCCCTGCTTTCTCTGTACGGATCTGCTCGAGATGATAACTGAAAGTGCTGTGTTCTGAACACGTCCAGCCTTTAGGATCCCGAGGTCGTCGTGATGCGACGCGTATGCACGTCTCAAATTACTCATGTCATAGGAACTTTTGTCGTAAGGCTGCTGCTTCGTGTTGGCAGTGGTAATGATGGCTAATGGATGGCGTAGTAGCTGGAGAAGTGAGTTCAGGCATTTGGGGGCGGCTGCTATGCGTCTGGGCCCTTCCAATACACAAATTGCAGTGCCTTTATCTTCTTTTTCTCAGACTGTGAAGAAGTGTCTGAGTATCAGTGGTGCAGTTATACAGGTGGTATCCAAGTGATTGAGACTATAGAAGATGGAGGTATCATAACTTCTTGAGATGTCCGAATGCCTTCTTTCGATCATAATTCAGAGAAATGGTTGAAATCGATAAAATATAATAATTGCTAGCGCTTAAAAACAGACACGATTGCATCGCAGATTTCATTGTCCTTCCCACCTGCCTTTCGAATTCATTCCCCAGTCCTCGCCAGAATACTGCGTCACATCGCAGAGCACCCTACAAATAGGCAGCAGGCGTTGGCATGGAACAGGTCAAGTTGCAACGAATGACCCCGCCTTAAGTGTTGTTCACTGTCTTCAGTTTCTCTCATCTTCGACACTCACCTACATTCTCACAGCGACACTCACCCACATTCTCACAGCAACACTCACCCATATTCTCACAGCAACACTCACCCACATTCTCAGAGCAGCAACTACAGAATCACTACCACACTTAGGTTCGCGCACCTAGATTAGTGAATTCTGGGCTTCGCGTAGCGATCAACATGAAGTAACTATGCCTCGCGACTCGGGAGTTTTCTCGTTATAACTAACACGCATAGCCCGAGCGACACAATTATCCAGCTAGTAGTCGCGCGATGCGTTGGCGAAATAGAGCGTCTCAACGTTCACTGTGGTGTTCTTTGCAAAAGCTCAAAGTTCTTTCAAAATGCTATGAAGCCAGAATGGACCGACACGCAAGCGGGACCGAATGTCATTGATCTTTCAGACAATCCCGTGGACGCAGTCAGTGATTACGTTAAATGGTTGTACTACGACACGATACCAAACAAGCAGTATGAAGCAGTCGCAGATACCCGCGAAGAGAAAGCCGAAGAAGCGGAAAAGGTCTTTGTTGCGCTTGCAAAATCATACGTCTTTGGAGAAAAGATTATTGATGTAAGGTACAAGAACGCGGTGTTGCAGACAATATCCACAGCGCAGAAGTTGTTTGACTGGAGCATGGGACCGGAGAGTGTTAAGATCGTTTACGAAGGCACCCCTCCACAATCTCCACTTCGACGCTTGATCGTTGAGAATGTTGCGTACATCGCGCATGAAGACTCAAAAGAAAGTGTTAGCTGGATGCAATTCTTGAATGAATATCCTGAAGACGCTAAGGCTGACATGCTGCAAACCATGGTAAAGGTACGTCCGTCACGTCCTGACTCCAGTCCTGGCGTCGTATCGTACCTTGAGGAAGAGTAGTTTCAGGCTGTCTCCTCTAGAGGATTGTCGAAAACTCTAGAATAGCACAAACACTGGATTAGAAGTACCCCAATTAGGGAGTAATGAACCGCTGTTATTAGAAAGCAAAATCAAAGCCCAATGTCAAAAGCCTGTTTACACAACCTCAGCAACCTCTTTCTACTCCTCGTTAGGCAACACGCCCCATCGATCGTAAAACCTCCTCTCCACCTCATTACACAGTACGTCATTCGCCTGGTTGATCTCCGCCATCTTTTCAGTCGCTTCTTTCTGTTCCTGCTCAGTGCGGCGATCGGAGTGCCATCTCAGACTTAAAGCTCGATGCGCTTTTCTAATTTCAGCCGCTGTAGCATTTCGGGTAACACCGAGTACATTGTATAGATCTGTGGTTGGCTGGGCACCTTCTGGTCGTGGAGGGACAGGACGACAAGGTGATGAAGGTCGTCCGGTGTAGGGGTATGAGGGAGGTGTTCGGTCACGGGAGTTATTGGATGATTCAAACGCCGAGTAGAACGTAAAGCGGGGCGGTGGTGGTTGTCGTCGGGTGTAGAAGACAGAAGGACGAGCACCAGAGCAAAATGAGGGCCGAGAGTCGGTAGTACGCGAATCAGGAGACGCGTAGGGTTCAAAGTTGTCTGGTACTGGAGGATATGAAGAGTAAGTCGAGGCCGACGCGTAAGAATCATAGGCTGAAGGTGGCTGGCGGTCTTCCGTGGTGTAATAAGACTCACGGGGTGGATGAGTACGAGGACGGTAGGAAGACTGGTGAGGTGGCACAGGCCTATTATGGCTTTGAAGGTATCCACAAAACCTACCTTGCAATTCTGGGGCGTTATTTCGGTAGTCGTAGGGAGAAGGAATGTATTCTGGTGCGCGAAGACCCGGTCCACTCCGATTCTGCTCATGCTGCTCACGCGTACCCCCAAAGAAGCTAGGAATACCGTCCCTCATCTCAGAAATGTGATCGAAACTGCCATGACTGTTTCTAAATCTCGAACCCGATAGACATTCGACATGCCTAAACAAGTTATCCTCATAGGACAATGGGGTAGAAGAGTACCGAGGTCGTGATCTACTATTTTGAAATACCTCTTCTAGATATGCTGTAGTGGTCAAAGACATTTCTGCGTTGTGGATTCGTTTGATGTACTCGAGGCTACGTTCTGAGGCTTCGTTAATGGTACAGCCTTCATTGCGGCAACAGATGTAGTAGGATTCTCGGAGCTGCTCTTCTTCTGCGGGTGTGACCATGGCTGTTGAGTAAGAGATCAGTCCCTGGAAAAGAGAGGTCTACTAGGTGATCCAAGCCATCAGACGGGAAAATTTTGGTTAATGTGTAAAAATCTAACAGTGGGCTAGTCTGGCCTCTTATGTGGTCGACGGTGCATTGTGAGGACCAATGCTGCTTCACACAACAACACCCTCGTGAGCGGTTCGGACGATCATTGTAGTCACACTTGACTTGGCTCAGTGCATGGTTCAAGTGAAGGGATCTAACACTGGATATAGCAGCTTCCCATCACCCTTCGGTGGTAGTATCGTTGTTCTGCATGCGTTGTATACACATATCGTACATGCCTCAACCTCTCCTCACATAGGCACTGGTGTTAAATGTCCATCTTTATCGTACTTCGCCTTGAAGAACGTATAACTCAATGTGACCGTCTCAATACCCTTCATATTGATGTCCTTTGTAAACTCCGGATCGATGTAGAAGAAGACTGGCATATCCACTGTTTCTCCTGCATTCAGTCTCTGCTCCTCAAAGCAAAAGCACTGAATCTTGCTAAAGTACGGGGCGACCTGTCCAGGCGTAACAGAATAGGTGGCTACGCCAATGATGTCTTCCGCTGATTTGTTGGTTGCAGTATAGAAGGCGAGGGCAGTTTCGCCTGGGAGTACACGGACTTCGCGTTGTTGGGGAACGAATTTCCAAGGCAGGACGTCAGATACGGAGCCATTGAACGTTATTCGGATACGTGGGTGGGATTCTACGGGCTTAAGACGTTCGGAGGGATCGACGGACGTATCGCCGCCGTGGGCTGCTGACTTTATGGGCTGGCCTCCCCAGCCAGTCTCCTGGCAGATCTAAAGAGCGAATTAGATTAAGAGTTGTAGACGAGACAATGATCTAAAGCCGCACCATCTTGTAGAACGGCACTGAGCCATAGCTTAGCGCTGTAAAGCCTATTATTACACTGAAGACATAGTTCCTAGACTATCGTCAGCAATTGCGCCCCTATTGAATGAAGGTATACGCATACATGACTGTCCGATTCTTTATCTTATACTGCGCATGCATCTGGTCCATTCTTGGCACAGTGCCATGCTGCCGCGCAGGTTTTGTAGTATTCAACCATCTCTGTGCGGTAAAGGCCGGGTTGCGAGCGCGCGATATTCTAGTGATCGAGCGAGAGCATGCTAAGCAAGTCCAGGAGCCTAGCGACCGTGAAGGTAATTGTCGGAATGGCGATGCGACAGACATATTGTGTTGTAAGAGTCAATGTTCCAATCGAGGAAACCTCGGTGGAGTGATGAGCAATGGACCCCGAAGTTCGCCGCGGGATTTAGCCCGATTGGGAACGCGTCTCGGAGCGCAAAAGTTACCACCTGAACGCGAACGTCATCTTCGATGCTCCCAACGCAAACATTTTTCCTGCGAACACCCTTCCTTTCACTGCATCTCTAAGAGTCGCGATTCTCACCTGTCAAGACACGATGGTGGAAGTCCTCTGCGGCGTCTGTGACGCAGAGCCCAAGAAGTACAAGTGCCCGACTTGCGCGCTCCCATAGTACGACACCATCTGCAGCCTCTCAAACATAGACAATTCTAATTACGAACAGCTGTTCACTATCATGTTTCAAGACACATAAAACAACGCATTCCGACACCACGGAGGTCGCACCGAAACCAGCAGAACCGGTTCTTCCGCAGCCACCACCACCCGCCCCGATACCACGATATCTCAAGCAGCGCACCGATTTCTCCGTCCTAGCAACAAACCCGAAATTCCAAACACTACTCAAGACTCACCCGATGTTACTGGCCTCCCTCCAACGCGTCTACGCCAAGACTATAAAACCAGATCCTGAGGATGAAAAGCGGCGGCGCATGCTAGAACGAAACGCTTTCCGAGGTCGGGGTACACGAGGGAGAGGCCGAGGGGGAAGAGGTGGTTGGAATAGATCGGAAGATAGGCAAGAAAAATGGACTCAGAAGAAGGGCGATAAGGATGGGATGGCCGAGTTGAAAGGGATAAGAGACGGGCAGGGGAAAGAGGGAGAACAAGATGCCATGGCTGAGTTTGTTGGTTTAGTTGAAGAGATATTTGGGAAGCATGAGAAGGATTCGATGGAAGAGGTATGATGGATGGGCTGTAGTACCAGGATGTCACAACATTACACGGACGAGGCAGGCTACATCAACGGCCAAAATGTACAGCGGAGCCCGCTAGCGAAATGCAGCTTCGATGACAAGCTGGATGCTAGGGATTTTCTTCCTACATCTCAAGATCCGACCAAAACCTGGTATCGATACGTTGGATCTTAAGCCCAAATGTCTCTTCGACAGAAGAGCCCTTCTAGATGCCTACGAGCTAGCAGGTATACTTGATATCTAATTCCACCTTCGGCACACCCTGGAACTCCTCAGGAACCACATACGAAATGTTGTAAAACAAGTGGTTCCTCAGCGCAGTACCATACGTCACGTTTTGTTTCACCAATCCCTCAGCCTCAACCTCAATCTCTACACACGGCAAATTCTCAAAGCCCATTATCCGTCTTCCAGTACCCAGCGTCCAACTAGGCGGCACGTTCGACAGTGCAAACGTGAAGATATCGCTTCCCTCTTGCGTGCGATTGGGGTAGCTGACGGAGAGGTGGTTCGGCGAGGCGACGGCGTGGATTGATGATGCGGATGGATAGAGGGAGAAGAAGGTGTTAAGCGGATAAGGCTTATGCTCCTTATCCCCCGCCCAGTGAACGATAGCAGGAACGAATTGATCCCCTCTATTTTCCTCCTCGTCAAGCTGCTGTCCACCAATCATCAGCTCTTTGCTAATCCAACTTGTCACAACCCTCGCTTCTCCTCCGTCAAGGTCGTCATAAACCGTTCGATTCAGCCATCTTGACTCCCCCACGAGGTCCCTTGTAGTAAATGCCTCTTCCACACCCGCAGGCAGTAGCGGCTTAACACCGTCAAGAACAAGGGCAATAGCCGCCCCCTGCGCAACATCGAATAACAAATCACTCTCCATCTTCTTCGGTTGCGTAGTCTTCTCCCTCCCCCAAAGACCCCACAGAACCAACGACAAGACAGCAGAATGTTGCGTGATATCCCTCGTATAAGCTCTATCGTACGGCCCTACGACATTGCCCAAATATCCATTATAATGCTCCGCCAAATCACCCATCATCCTAGGCAGAATGTAGTGAGCAGCCGTCGTCATACTAGAGTTGCTACCCCCGTATTTTATCTGCGCTCCCAAAGCCCAGACATCGATACCGTAATACGTTGGCGCATTGTACTCGCTCAACGTCTCTGCTCCTTCTCTTTGAAACAGCTCTAATATCTGCCTTCCCTGGTCTTCGGCGAAGGAAGTAAATGTGCTATTCTGCCTCCTCATACCAATGTACTCGCAGAGTAGAGCGCGCATCATAGCCGGATTCGTATACCCAATCGTCAGGTTATCGTCTTCAGTGGGGTAAGATCCATTTCTCCGCATGCTACCCACAGCCGCTATTTCGAGGCTATCCTCGATCGAAGTTATCAGTGGAGCGGATAGCAAGTGCGGGAATTCTGAGAGAATTTGGATGAGCTGGGTGCCAATGAAGTCGCGCCAGTTAGGATCGTAGGTCGTGTATATCTTTGGCGGGTATAAACCAGAATCGGGTGTTGGATCGGGTTGGTCAGGAGATAGTTTGTATGTTCCGTACCATGGAGCGTCGAAGTCGTCTATCATTTGACAAGCCAGTCTGTTGTCGCATTGTTAGCCTCCGTTTTTGCTCTCCTTCTCTCTGCACCCATATGCAATTTACATACATGTTCCTGATGGAGGCTTCTGCATGCTTTACATCGTCTCCTTGGTTTCTATGAAGCAGTCCAGCTACATACCAAGCTGTGAAACGAACAGACTATGGTCCTTTATCGGAGTATTGGATGAAGTTGTAGGATGCATCGTAGCGATTATCTTGAATATGCATGGACCAGTCGAAGAGATCTTGAGCATCTGAACAGCAATTGTTAGTAAAAAGCGCCAAATTGCCGAGTCTGATGGCTTAGTCGAACGCACTTGGAGATAGTGCAGTATTGACGTGCTTTGTTGCTGCAGCACTTGCCTGCGCGGCGAAACATGCCGCTATGAAGCTGACTGCCTTCATCTTGGTTTCTATATGATGCAGACGCATGCACGAGATTCATCATAACATCTGTTTAAATACTCCCTTGGCTAAATGCACGACCAGACGGATAATTGTACCCGCAAACAAGTACTTCCGCATCGTGAGCGACGATCTACCCCAGACTTCAAGTTTTCGGCGCAGTGCCCGCCGAAGTGTAACTTTGTGTGTTCTAGTGAAGCTTGGAAGGATCGAGTAGTTGCATGTGTAGTGTGAGTTCAGGTTGCCGCTAACGACGCAACCGGGAATATCTACCGGTTATATTCCCTTGTGTGTCTAGACTTCCGGGACTAGTATTGAATGCAACTCTTGGAAACGGCATTGATTGATGAGGGAAAACGCGTATCGCGGATAGGATTCTGGTATCTTCATATTAAGAGTAGGTCACCTTGTCATGGGTCCCATCTCTTCCATCTTTCTTCGATTGTAGTCGTGTAGGGAGATTATACCGTCTCGATATATCTTCTGACTTCCCAGTCTGTCACAGCCTCATCCCAGAGCCTAATCTCATGTTGCCTAGTCCCACCAAAGTGGTCCACGAATTGGTCGCCGAAAACTTCTCTTGCAACGCTCTCTTTTCTCATAAATCGTTCAGTCGCTTCTTTCAAGCTCTTCGCCAGTCGTTCACCCTTGTCCGCTTCTCCACCAACGTCTTCGCCCTTGCCCAGAGGCGGTATGCCGATCTCCATCTTCTTCTCAATACCTCGCCAGCCGAGGGCTAGAATTGCAGCAAGAACGAAGTGCGGGTTTGTGTCTGCGCCTGGTACACGGACTTCGAAGCGCGTGGCCTTACCGGATGAGGTAGGGGGAGAGATGAGGCGGATGGAAGCAGCGCGGTGCTCGAGACCCCAGGATACGGTGACGGGTGCCCAGAAGTTTTCTACCAACCGTTTGTAGCTGTTGACATTCGGTGCTAGGATAGGCATGATATCAGGAAGACCGTCGATCAATCCTGCTAGGAAATGTCGGCCAAGGTCTGAAAGATACCGGATGTCTGAGTATGGCGCGTTCTTGTCCTCTTCACCTCGGTAGAACAGATTCTTGCCCTCTTTATCTACGATGGAGACATGCATATGTCCACTGTTTCCAGGGAGACCCTCGCGCGGTTTAGCCATGAAGCATGGTGTTATGCCGAATTTGGATCCGAGAGACTTGACGACAAGCTTGAACAGCGAGGCTTTGTCTGCCATTGCTTGAATTTCGCCAAATTCGAGAGCCTGTGTCATGTCAGTCGACTTCAGCCGTACCAACTAGTCTGATATGCCTACCGCTTCAAAGACACCTGGCCCGGACTCTGTATGCCACCCTTCAATTCCACAGCCGAACTGGGCGCATGTGTTGAAGATGCCGTAGTAGTATTCTTGGTTGTGGACGGGTCGCGTGATGCTATATCCGAACATGCCTTCGGTAAGACTTGGAAGCGAGTTTACGGGGTTCTCGCGCAGGAAGACGGCGGTGCTCGACGTGTTTTTCTCTGAGCCATCGTGGCTCTGAGGTGCGCGGAATTGGTAGAACTCGTACTCAGCTACACCATTACACATCAGCTTCATTGACGACGCGCAGCACCCGCTCTTCTATTGGCAACGGACTCACCTCCAGCCATGGCACCATATCCATTCTCCTTCAGCCTATCAACAGCGCGTTTCAACAGGCTTCTTGGGCATGCGCTAAGGGTCTCTTTGGTGTCTGGGTCATGGAAACTGATGAGGAAGAAGGGTATGTTGTCCTCCCAAGGTATCCTCCTGAACGAGGTCAGGTCTGGTATGGCGAGCAAGTCGCGGTACCCGTTCTCCTTGTTCGAGATGGCCAGTTCCTTGAAGTAGGTCTGGTCATGCATGTCCCATCCGAAGATGACGCTGCAGAAGCCGAAGCCGTCGTTGGCTATGCTGAGGAACTTCTTCTTGGCCATGAGCTTTCCACGCAACACGCCGTCGACATCGATGCCCGCGACTTTGACCGCGATGTCATTTTTAAGCAGCTCGGGCAGTTGTTCGGCCGTCAGCGTGGAGGCATCGAATTCGGCGGCCATGGTGGTGAGTGCGGGATGTGGAAGGAACGTATGCTGTTGAAGCTTACGACTGCAGACAAAGGAGTATCTTACAGAGGAACAAGTATGGCCGCGCAATCAGGTTTGGGGCAGCTATCGAGCTTAACGGCTCGTGACGGTTGGAGTGCGATAGAGCTTAGGTGGGCCAATGAGGGGCGATCGGAATGCGGGCTGCGACAGATGCATCCAACGACATCATAGCCCTGTTTCCTGCATGCGCTCACAGGCTATATATTGCATAGTCACACGTGGGTTATCTCCCTTACGCGACATCCTCTGTATCTCCCAATGCGACCAAAATATACCCCTATGCGACAACCGTGATGATGCGCCGATATCGAAAAGACAAGGGAGCACACACGTCATCCATCATGGCGGGGTAGTCAGCCCTACACTGTCTTTCCGCATGACGGCCGTTTGGGGCATATATCGTGCACCATGGCTGTTGAAGCGAGGCTGCTATCGTGCACCTGCCCACCGCCCCTTTGCAAATTGCCCGAAGATGACAGCTGCCAACCCGATAGCCCTTATCATGGTCCATCCTATCAATGCAATGGGCCGATTTCGGGACCCTGGATTGTCTGAATGACTACCTTAGCTGTCCGAGACTACCCGTTCATCATCTTCCTCTCTTCGCACTCTGGATCCCGACACGCGCCTCATACGCCCACTCGCACTGGAAAGTCCGATTCATAGGTAAGTGTGGAGACCGTTCAGACTGTTTGCGCATTTGGCAAACCTTCCCCATTCACGGTCGGAGCGGAGTGCTGTCCTCATGACGCTTTCTCTAGTAAATATTAGTCATATTTCTACAGCTTCCACAAAACTTTGCTTTGCGCTCGATATCCATTGACCCCATTACAGCACCTTTACTACACCTGTACCAGCACAATAACCAGACCAAACATTCAACATGGGTCGTCTTGAAGGCAAGAACTGCATCATCACTGGAGGCGCTGGGTAAGCACCGATCCCGCACGTACCACAGCACATTTTCTATTGGTATTCCATACAATAATCTGTCATGTACCCATGTTCCTTTGAGGGCTTCAACGCCATCTTTCATATTCATTGATCTGGGAGCCAAGAGCATCCACAAAATCATGCTGCGACGCCCAACTGCCCACTAACGACACTTAGCGGCATCGGTCTCGAGACCGCCATCCTCTTTGCTCGCGAGGGCGCCAATGTTCTCCTCTGCGATATCTCCGGCCCGGCGCTGGAGAAGGCTTCGGCCAAGCTGAAAGAGATAGTCCCAGAGGCCAAGAAGGTTGAGACCAAGATTACCGATGTTTCCAAGGAGGCCGATGTAAAGGCCATGGTCGAGCACGTGGACTCATGGGGTGGTCTGGATGTCCTGTTCAACAACGCAGGTATAATGCACGCCGATGATGACGATGCTGTCAACACACCCGAGAAGATCTGGGATCTGACACAAGCTATTAACGTCAAGGGTGTATGGTTCGGCTGCAAGCACGCAGTCAACAGCTTCAGGAAGAACGGCAAGAAGAAGACAAGTGTTATCAACACCGCAAGTGTCGTCGCCTTGGTGGGTAGCGCAACACCACAGCTTGCATACACAGCCAGCAAGGGTGCCGTATTAGCCATGACACGGGAGTTGGCAATGGTTCACGCACGTGAGGGCTTCAGATTCAATGCGCTGTGCCCAGCACCATTGAAGTACGTTCTTTCCGGAACGACATGATATCGCAGACCACTAACAGCAATAGCACACCACTCTTGCAGGACTGGCTTGGTGACGACCAAGCTAAGCGTCACCGTCGCGAAGTCCACTTCCCCACTGGCCGCTTTGGTGAGGCCGTCGAGCAGGCCCAGGGTGTTCTCTTCCTCGCCAGCGATGAGAGCAGCTTCGTCAATGGTACCGACTTTGTCATCGACGGTGGTATGACCAGGTGCTACACCACACCTGAGGGCGCGCCACTTGAGGCGCCCAAAAACAACGCACGATGAGCGCGTTCAGGGGTTTGGTTTATCGAGGGTAGCGGGAGAGAGACGACTTGTACGGATAGCAAATGGTACTCATGAGGGATGAATGATATATTACGTCAGATATGTACGATGAATGGCACTAGTGATACATTTACTCTTGCTGCTAAACATTTCGTGATCCACGACAGAACATACGGTTGATAAGGGGAACAACGATAACACAGCAGCTCTTAGCATCTGATGAAGGCGAAGATTCGGCTCATGCATCTTATCATAGAAGCGTATGGACGACTACTCAGCGCGCAAGAATGCGCTGATTGGCTACGGGACTCTTTCCACTATAATCAACGCTTCTTCCAAGTTGCCCAAGAGCGTAAGGAGGAAGAGATATCCAATTCGCTCGGGCATGTCTGACCGGGTCTAGTTGAGGAGAGATGGCTGATGGCATTTATATGGAGAAGTGATTCGTTCGGTGAAGTTTGCCATGGTCGTTTGAAATAGGAAACCAGGTTTCAGATGACCACGCGCCTTAGCGTTGGATCGCCATTCAGGGTCCAGAGCCAGGATGCGACTTTCTCGGACACGTGAGATCTGGCCGTCAGCCCGTCGTCAGCCAACATGGACCGCATCACCGCACGCGCTGACAATGACTTTGCTGTCGTATTCTACGGCACGCTCTGGGTAGCTGCGCTCTCTCTCATTTGGTTTACTTGTCGCGCGGATCCCGAGGAACCTGTCAAGTATGTTATTGACACGCCTGAGCAAACCAAGAAAGGATGGAAGGGCCAGGTGCTCGAGAAGCCTCAATTGAAGGTTCGTATACACCATATCCATTCCAGAGACGGCAACTGACTTGTAGTAGGTATCAGGCTCATCCTTGATCCAATGCTACGCCCCTGCAACCGGTGAAGCTCTTGGGCGCATCAACCCCTCTACGGCCGACGGTATCGACCGCGCAATCGCCAAAGCCAAAGCCGCGCAGGTACAATGGGCTCAGACAAGCTTCCTCAGACGTCGCAAGGTGCTGCGCACTATGCTTAAGTTTATCCTCGAAAACCAAGAGGAAATTGCGAGGGTGGCATGTCTGGACTCGGGCAAGACTATGGTGGACGCGGCTCTGGGCGAGATACTGGTGACGGTAGAGAAGCTGAGGTGGACAATCAAGCATGGGGAGAAGAGCTTGAAGTCCGAGAGGAGAGACACCAACTTCCTCATGATGTACAAGTGGAATGAGGTCGTATACGAGCCGCTGGGTGTTGTCGCAGCTTGCGTGAGCTGGAAGTGAGTACCAAGCGCTGCTGGAATTGGTTGACACGTCTAACATCCTAACAGCTACCCCTTCCACAACCTCATAAGTCCCGTAATCGCCTCTGTCTTCGCCGGTAACGCCATTATCGTCAAAGGCTCTGAGGCGACTGCCTGGTCCTCATCGTACTTCGCCTCGATTGCTACTCGCGCCCTTGAAGCATGCGGCCACTCGCCCGACATTGTCCAATCTGTCGTCTGTTGGCCTGACGTTGCCGACCACCTCACATCACACCCGTCAATATCACACATAACCTTCATCGGATCGCGACCAGTAGCGCACCATGTCTGCGCTTCAGCGGCAAAGGCATTGACACCAGTTTGCGTGGAGCTAGGCGGCAAAGACCCAGCCATAGTCTTGGATGACATCTCCAACAGCGACTTTAAGCGCATAGCCAGCATCCTCATGCGTGGTACCTTCCAGTCTGCAGGTCAGAACTGCATCGGCATCGAGCGCGTCATCGCCCTACCCAAAGTTTACGACCGCTTCATCGAGTACCTCACACCTAAGATCCGCGCGCTCCGCCCAGGATCCGTACTCAACAGCTCTCCAGACAGACCCATCGATATCGGTGCATCCATATCCGATGCAAGTTACTCCAAGCTCGAAAACCTCATCCAAGACGCCGTCAGTAACGGCGCCCGCCTCCTCGCAGGTGGAAAACGCTACTCCCACCCCGACTATCCCCAAGGCCACTACTTCACTCCTACCTTCATCGCCGACGTCACGCCCTCCATGGCGATTGCCCAAACCGAACTCTTCGCCCCCGTCTTCCTCCTCATGCGCGCCGAATCTGTCGCAGATGCCATCTCCATTGCCAACAGCACCACTTACGCTCTCGGCTCCTCGGTCTTCGGCTCTTCGACTCGCGACCTCGAACTCGTTGTTCAATCTCTACAAGCCGGCATGGTTGCTGTAAACGACTTTGCTGTATACTACATGGTTCAGATGCCGTTTGGGGGTACAAAGGGGAGTGGATATGGGAGGTTTGCTGGCAAGGAGGGACTGAGGAGTCTTTGTAATATGAAGAGTATTACGAGGGACCGGTGGGCTTGGGCAGGGATCAAGACAGGAATCCCGCCGCCAATGGATATTCCGTTGCAGGGAGAGGGTGCTGGGGAGAAGGCGTGGAAGATGGCTGAGGGTATTGTTTGGTTGGGTTATGGAAATTTGAGGGGCAAGGTTAGGGGATTGAGGGGTGTGTTAGGCTTGTAGATAGTGACGGTGTAAGATGTGCTTAGACGAAGATAGTATATAGATAATAGTATGACACCGTCATTCGACATGAACAGTAAATCGTATGTATTGAAGTGCGGAGACTGTTCAGTATCGGCTCTTGTCTATACCTTAATCTTGGAGAAGTGATTCATCTGAAAAGTAGCATAAGGGTATCTAATCTCCTTCTGGGAAGTTTTGATCTAGATCATCCAGCAAACACCATCAACATTGAAGGCGGACACTCCACTCTTCCCCTCGTCTCACCCAAGCCACCTGCTCCTTGAACTGCTGGCGCAACACTAGCATGTACTTGGCACATTACTTGCAATTGTTCCAACGCCTGACCACTTACGGATCTCGTCAATCACAAGGTCGACGTAGAGCAACAGATTCAGACCAAAGTTGGCGAAGATGGCTGGCAGCCTACGTGACTTTGGAACATCTTGGGGCTCTTTCTCTCGAAGCGCAAATATTACAACTTGATATTGATTTCTGGTCGCTTGCTGAGCTTCGTTGCTAGCATCGTTATGCCTGCCATGAGATCTCCCACCTTATCATCGTTAGCTTGAATAACACGCCTGCTCAGGCTAGGTGGCAATATGCCAGCTACGGGATCCAAATAGTGCACTTCAAGTTACGCTAGAATTGGTCGTGCGTGGCGCAACTACGCTTGTAAAAGCAGCAAGAGCAGTCCAGTGTCGTTTACAGCATTATCCACGGTTTGCCGCAATATAGTTCGTGACTTCTCTTGCGGTGAAAGAAGCGTGAGAAAGAGCTAAAGGCCCTTTGAAAGGTGCTCCGAACCCATAGTTTAGTCGTTCATGTAGCGAATGAGGGATGTGAACCACAACGTGGAGTTGATTCAATCAGTACCCGTGACCAGGGTAGTGTCTGATTGTCGACCATCTTCCGAAGCAGATTTTGACAACGGAATTGTAGAAGTGGTCATCCTTTTAGGCTTCTTGAGTTGTTTTGTTGCGCCTACTGGAAACCGCTTCTTGCCACCGCAAATAAGGCAAGTAACGACAAGAACATCTGCCCAGGGCTTCCTGCTACCCTTGCTCGGGTTTTCGATTGTCTGACTAACAGTACGTCCAGGAATCAAAACGGTGTTACAGCTCTTGCACATGGAGCGCTTCAAATCGACAGCGAGCCGTAGCTGACCTTTTCGCGATACTTGCTGAAGGTCGGATCCAAGCTCGAGTGCGAGCGGTAAATGTCGTCGGGTCGCGGGCGCAGCGTGGGGAGGACTTTCTTTGTCTTGTGCGACATCAATGGCAAACTCGTCTTGGGTGGCCGTTTGCAGAGTCAGGTATGTGGCTGCTTGGTAGAGAAAAGTAGAGCGAGCATGCAGGTGCTTGTTGGGCATGCCCTTTGATTTTGGCGCCTTGGCTTTGCTCATGATGATACCCGTGCTACCGTTCGATTCTTTATGCGTGAACTTGTCGTTTCACTGGTGAATAACGAGAGGGACAAGGATATGTAGGTGCTGCTCGCAAACATGGTTCGTGATTCAGCGCCGTCCGTTTGCGGCCTAGTCTAGCGCCCAGCAAGGCGCCCCGAGCTTTTTACCTCGACATCAGCGACCAGCGACCGCTCTTGTCTACCGCCCACCACGAACCTCCACCGCCTCAGCAACCTCGTCGAATTCGCATAACTGTGAACTCGCGAAACACTTGCTGATCTCTTCTTTTCGTAGCTTTTAGTATAATACCGCGCTTCGGCACCCTCACGACTCCACTTTGTTTGGCAGCCTTCCTTGCGACACGCGCAACCGCCAACTCTACACGACACCAGCACTCTTATCCCAACACATAACTCATCATGTCTCACGAGGAAGATCTCATCGACTACTCCGACGAGGAGATCCAGACGACTGATGCGCCCGCCAACGGCAGCGCAGCTGCCAGCAAGGGCGGCCTCACCGCTGGTGACGCTGCAGGCGACAAGAAGGGCAGCTACGTCGGCATCCACTCAACCGGTTTCCGCGACTTCTTGCTCAAGGACGAGCTCGTACGAGCAATCACGGACTGTGGCTTCGAACATCCTTCCGAGGGTTAGTCTAATAATTCCCCTCAGCCTTATCCACCTACAAGCGTCTGTCCATCTACGAAACGAGCTCTGTCTACAATGCGCCCTGGTCTGTCTATATACGAGCGAAGTGGCGAGGGACCCAGTGCCTTCCGCTACCTACGAGCGTCGACGCGCACTGCATTATGGCGTGCGCAGCGGTATATGCATCAAGAAGCCTAGTGCTGCCCATTGGCTCACTTTCGTGGTCCCGAAGGACTGGTTTCCGAGGAGGAGTGCATGGTGCAGGTGTACAAGAGGAGGCACACCTTGAGCGTATGGGGAGGACAGACAGACTGGCACGCGCGCTAGATGGAATACCTCGGCTGCTCAAGATGGACGGACGCTTCGCTTCCCACGCTTCGTTTCGACCGCTTTAAAGACCTTTCTGACATAACGTGTGCCCTACAGTCCAGCAAGTTACCATTCCCCAGGCCATTCTAGGAAACGATGTCCTCTGCCAGGCCAAGTCCGGTCTCGGAAAGACTGCCGTCTTCGTTCTCGCAACTCTCCAGCAGATGGACGAGAAGCCTGAGCCTGGCGTTGCTACTATCCTGGTCATGTGCCACACTCGCGAGTTGGCCTACCAGATCCGCAACGAGTACAACCGTTTCGCCAAGTTCCTGCCAGACGTCAAGGTCGGTGTCTTCTACGGTGGAACTCCCGTCCAGAAGGACATCGAGCTCCTGAGCAACAAGGACACTCACCCCCACATCATTGTCGGTACCCCCGGTCGTATCAACGCCCTCGTACGCGACAGGCATCTTCGCCTTGCCAACCTGAAGCACTTCGTCCTCGACGAGTGCGACAAGATGTTGGACCAGCCCGGTCAGTATACATTCTCCATCCCGGCTGATTCTTGCTAACACTTTCACAGACATGCGCAACGATGTCCAGGCCATCTTCCGTGCTACCCCCCAGCACAAGCAGGTTATGATGTTCTCAGCCACCCTCAACAAAGACGTCCGCGTTGTCTGCAAGAAGTTCATGCAGAACCCGCTCGAGATCTACGTCGATGACGAGAAGAAGTTGACACTTCACGGTCTCCAGCAATACTACATGAAGCTTGACGAGAAGGAGAAGAACCGCAAGCTCAACGACCTTCTCGACAGCTTGGAGTTCAACCAGGTCATCATCTTCGTCCGTTCGACTCTTCGCTGCTCTGAGCTCGACAAGCTTCTTCGCGAGTGCAACTTCCCCAGCACTGCTGTCCACTCCGGAATCAGTCAAGAAGAGCGGTATGTACTTGACGGTTTTCGCTTGCTGGCTCAATACTAATTCGTATATAGTATCAAGCGCTACAAGGAGTTTAAGGAGTTCCAGACCCGTATCTGTGTCTCCACTGACATCTTCGGTCGTGGTATCGATGTCGAGCGTATCAACGTCGCCATCAACTACGACATGCCCGACAAGGCCGACGCCTACCTTCACCGTGTCGGTCGTGCCGGTCGTTTCGGAACCAAGGGTCTCTCCATCTCGTTCGTGAGCAGCCCCGATGACGAGGCTGTCCTCAAGTCGATCGAAGAGCGCTTCCAGGTCGAGCTCCCCGAGTTCCCGGAGAACGGTGTCGACTCCGGCACTTATATGGACAACTAGTGGTCACTTGGATCAAGTGACGGATGGGTGCGGGAACGGTTTTCTTTTGGACAAAAAAGTCACCATTGAACTTCGATAGGTGTCGTTGATCGAAGCAGAACCGCTTTGCAACGATCATGAAAGCAACGGCGCAGGTGGTTCTTGGCTTTAAAGTCTGTTCTGTAATTTAGTTCTCAGAGGCAACAGAGAAGCTATTGCCTCGCTGGGAGGAAACGAAAAAATTGATATGTCATCTCCCGTCCATGATAAGCTCTGTTGTCCGAACATGACTAGTTACATGACCGTTGCTGCTACTTTTTGACAACGCCTGTATAGCTTGCTTACGTGTTCTTCTCAACGAGAAAAATCGACTTTGTGCACAGTTGTTGATAACGTGATCTTCACTGACAGACGTTCTAGCCTTTCTTCGTACGCGTCGGTGTATCTTGTTTTTCTTTGCTTTACACGCGGTGTTTCGGTTGGGCTCCATTGTCTTCGGCTCGGGTGATCGTAAAAGCAAGTGGTGGAGATCTCGTTTCAAGGGCTACTGCGGGCGGGAGAAGTAAAGAGGAGAAGGTTAGGTATAATGGTTCATAGCTCTCGCCACCTAATTATAGCGATGTTGCATTTACTTTTGTTCAACAAGTTCACGTTCACGGTGGAGCGACCGCACCTGCTGTGTTTTGTATTGAGACATTTCATATGTTTGAGTTTAGAAAAAAGTTCAGGTCAGAGAGGAGCTTTGCTTGTTTGCTCCCATCAGAGATAAAGAGTTGGTACGGGCAAAGGGTATGCGTTTTTGTTGGAGACTCTGACAGGCATGATCCCATAGTCAGCGGACAACAATGTGTAGGGAGTAGACCCTTAATTTGTTTGTTCTATACATTTGCTACCAAGTCGCGTCTTGAATCATTGGCGAACAAATGTACGAACTAACAGGATAAGGGTTCGAGTAGTGTTTCCGGGGCGCCACATGGCTTGGTGCCAAAGCGGTATCGACGTGAACCAGCGGTCTGGTATCATCAGACTCTTTTTTGACGCAATATGTTATCCAAATGTCGTGATTATGTCAAACTCAACAACGGTTCTTTACCACAAGAAAGTATTCCTGAAACTTATGGAGGTAATGAACTTGCGCGCTCTGGCCCAGACTTAGATCTTTGTAATTGTCTCTGGTCTACTCTGGGTAGGGCTTTCTAGTCCTATCATGATTCTAAGGTCACGTTTGCACGAGACTGTAACGTGGCGAGGCAACTGTCTCCAGAGTCACTGATCATGTCAAGATCTCAAATCTCTTAATATTCAACAGTATTAAGCTACGTACCTAATAAACATTAGCTCATGTTACAACCGTTTTGTCCGAAATGGCCAGACGAAAAGCCAGAGCCAGAGCTTGTTCGCCATCTTGCCTAAAGGTTCATCCTCCACTTGGTGTATACTAGATATATCTATATCACAGGCATTTTATAGCTTACCCACTGTGGATATAAGCACAGTAGCTTATCAAGAATTATGCGACGTTGGGTCAGCGATAGAAAGTTGGCAGGATGCCTGCTGGTCCTATATACTGGACCTTCTCACAGGCAAGACCTGTTACAAAGGCTCATCTCGCTTCTGCATCTCGTGAGAGCATTGGCGACGTCTCCGCACTTGCATGTAACCTGCCATTAAGATTAGATAGACGTTGGAATATGGTTGCGGAGCACGGCTGCGTAAAGTTCCGAGCAAGCGATCAAGGCCGCGGACCCCTTTTATACAAGGCGATTGGTGAGTTCGTCCTTTACAGAACATAGCCAGCACAAGGGGACTATTGGCATCCCTTTAGCCGATAACAAGAACTTAGCAAGGTTGGTGAGCGGTGTGCGCGGAGGACAAAGGTGAGAGATGCATGCTGCGTATCGCGACCACAATCCGCAAGGTCGGGCCCAACATTAGGCGAAGATCACCACGTTTCTATTTCGATATTTCTGTTAAGGAAATTCATGATGTGAAGATCGACGGCGGCGACCCAGTCCCTTGTTCGGCAGCCGCGCACATTACCGGCCCGCAGTGGCGCCACATGTCAGGAACAAGACCGAGGTGACTCGCTTGGCGGGGCGGCGTTCAGGAGCACGAGCAAAGGCGTCGGAAACGGTTAGTGATGTCGAAATGAGACATGGGTAGCGAAGTGTCGGAGGGCTGAAGCCGCGAAGATTTGTGATTCGATAAGAGGTAACGGGATGCAGAGTCGTGTTTCAATAGATGCAGTGACGATCGTAAGACATGGAGTCGATTTGCGAGGACGTGGCAAGCTTTAGTCGCCTCTGTGCAGGTGAGATTCCGAAGAGAGAGCAACGACGCGCGATGAGTATGCGGTTCTATTTTGAGACTTGGGCGAACGTCCCTTCCGAAAGTGGTTTCCTCACCGGATATGATATGGTTTTACACTATAGGGCAGGGCTAGAAATCGCAATTCTCATTTCCCATACGCATGCCATCGCATTCAATCGCATTCACGTGGCGTCTCGAGTGTTGTGTTAGCGCGTACGTGATTGCTGTGGAGGCGATTGAAACGCCAAACATCCCCGTACCCCGTGTATACGCCGCGTATTATCAGACGCAGCAGCCGTTGGACGAACGGCATGGATCTTAGTCCGACGCAGTTTGTTACGTCCGCGATGTTCTGTTGGCCATCCCAGGAAAACTTTCAACGGCGGGAGGATACGAATACGAGATCCCTTCTTCCAGGCGCCAGGGATGATGCACGAGGCGCGATTGCTTGACTAGGTTAAAACAATAAGCTTTTCAAGGAAATGTTACGGACGAAATGCAACAATTAACCCCCACCTGCTGGTTCCCGCTGTCAGAGTCAACGGTGCTGCATTGCAGCTTCTGTCGAATATCTGGTAGAGCGAGTATAGGAGCAGCCACGTAATTGCATAAAAAGGCTGGCTATTGACATCTAGGGCGAGTGTGTGATAGCTCTAATGTCATTTGCGACGGAAGTAGCAGAAGTGACTAGGCAGTTGCAACTACAACTGAATGTCGTTAGGAAGTCGCGTGCGGTCATGTCAGAGGGCAGCGCTTCGAGGAAGGAGCGGTCGCGTCTGAAGCGAGATCTCGATCGCTGTGGATCGGGGGTCGACGGCGCAAGAGCGATGGTTTCGCTTGCAGATGAGCCCGCGCAATGTGAATGTCTGAAGCATATGAATTGCAATTGTGTCGGTACAGATAGTAGCCGCTTCTAGCAGTGATCATTGACTGTGATTCGCGCATGTCTTGGCGAGATGTCCTATACAGGAGCAAGGCGCGGATCTGCTGCATGGTGCGATTTCACAGGTTGATGAGTGCGATTGAAGCAGCTGGTGGCGTATTAGACTGTGGCGACAGTGAAAGCTAATATTGGTTCGTAGATTGATAGGTTGCTCAACCTCAGACACGGCGACTGCTGTGTTGCTCATGTTGTGTTGGCACATGTACCCGACACCATGTCGGCCGCTCCAGCGATGGTCTGATTTTGTAAGCTCAAAAGCGGCTCGGGTGCGGGAAGCAAGTCGAGCCGTGCATTTCCAGTCGGTGGATTAGTCGCTGGTATTGTACAGTAGTGGCACCGGGCGGAACTGCCGCTGGGTCGCGGTGAGGTCTCGTTGAAAAGACCGACTTCAAGCTACTCATCCGACCCACCGACTGGCTATTTCACTGCGCGAAGACTAGACTCGGAGCAGCAAGCAGCGGGCGTAATCAGGTTCCGAAAGGACCAAACGGCCAGGTGGAAATTAATACAAGGCTCTATCTGGCCAGGGCTGTATCTCGGACAGTGGCAGCCCCTTTTGGAGGATTTTCAGGCTGCCCGTTGAGAAACCAACCAAGGATGGGAATTGACAGCGGTCGCACGGTCCCCAGTTCGACGGTGGAATAGGCGTTGGGACTGTCTGTCTTGGCCAGACGTAGCGAACGTCGACGTCAGACGCGCGTGGAGCTTCAGTGACGATTAGTTTGATTAGTGCTAGGACGGTTGGGGGTTGGCGCTGACGGTAGTGAGTTGTGAACCAGACGCGCAAACATGGTTGAGGCAGCGTGGCAGCGTCGTGTACAATGTCGAGGGCTACATAAAACTAGCCACGGCCGGCGCATTCTGGACGCAAGGCGCGAGGTGCAGCAGGTTTTGGTGATAGGCGAAGGCTTCAGATCGTCGAGTGCATGTGGGCGAAGCGGATCTCCATGGGCTGGCCGGGATGATGCCGCGCAAGCATCAATCTGCCAGGGCTGGCGATGTGGGTTTGTTTCTAGAGTTATTTCGCAACACGCGACGCTTGACAGTGTTTGCACTGCGACAAGAGACAATTAACAGCTGCCTCCCGCAGTGCACAACTTCTGCAACTAGGAGTTGGAGGGAGATCTGCCGTCGCAGCATCACAGCATGGGCACGCCACACCACGCATATGCCTTTTTATGAAGCAAAAAAACAATGACGACGGGCACGGCCCCGCCCATAATAAATCAGCGATGAATTTGGCGTCGACAGCGATAAGTGCAGGGCCTGTGCCCAAAGCATTCTAGTGGGCACCGGGCAGACAGGCAGGCAGTCAGCGGGATATCAAGCCAGTGCAGCTCTGGGTGGCAGCGCAGGCCAGCAACCTTGTCTACTACCCTCCAAGCCTCCACCCTGCCCCAAACATCTGCTCACTCTACTCTGCATTGCATCTTTGCTGCCTGCGTCCGCTCGCTTTGTCAGAGATTCTGCCGTGGAACCCGCGTCCAGCTGTGCGCTCCTTCTCACGCCGACCCGACTGCAGTAGTCGTGGTAGCTTCCCTCACCCTCCGCCGTCTGCGCCCGTCACGACCCAGTCCGTCTTGTCTTGTCCCGTCCTGCCTCTTACCCGCGCCTCTCACTTAATGTTCTGTTACGAGTCGCCCCAGTGATCCATCTCTCCAGGCCTCCGCACACTCGTTTCCCTTACTATCTTAATCGATAATTTCCTGCCGCTGTCTGTTGTTGCACGCCAATTGCGCTACATCGAAGCGCGCTCCGAACGCCAACT